TCATCTCTGTTTCCAAGCCAAAGAGCCAGCGCTGTCTGAAGACATTTCCATGGTCATGTGGCCGGCATGACTAGACGCCGAGGCGCACGGAACGCTGTTACCTTCCCACCGAAGCGGTACCTATTTATCTACTTGCAATTTCTTGCTTTCGAACTGCTAGATGGGCAGGAGCTGGAACCAGAGACGGGAGCTCACTCCGTCATGCAGCACTCGGGTCTCGAACTGCTGAACTACCGACCTTCCAGCCTGCAGTTCAGCGACTTAACCGCTGAGCCACCGCAGCTCTGTGGCTCTCTGGTACTGCAAGACTATCTTGAAAAGGGGCATACGATCCATTCATAGAAGGGGGGGGGAACTATCCCCAGCCATTACCAATGACAGCCAGAAGAAGCCTCCAGCGGCAGAGGCAGTGTATCTTGGGGACCAAGAGGGATGGGCTTCTGCCTCCTTGTCATGCTGGCCACAAAATGCTGGACTAAAAAGGTAAAGGTAAAGAACCTCACTAAGCTGACCCCCGGGAGAAGGTCCCCTTGATCAGTGGAGAGATGTCACAGCCAGTGTTCCCTCTAAGCCGTGGGGTCTTGTGAGCAAAATTCTACTTTGTGAATTTTTAAAGACGCATTACGGTTGTGAGCGACCGATTTGGCTGCTGCATAAATCAGTTTGCTCTGGAGCCCTCCTTCCTGAGCTGAGACGAAAATGTGTGTGCCAGAGGTTAAAAAACCGTGAGCTAGCTCACACTAACTCAGCTTAGAGGGAACACAGCCCTTGTGAACGTGTGATATATGAAGAGGCCTTTACATTTTACCCGTTACCAAGCAAGACGCTTTTTCATTGCCACTGTTCCCAATCAACTTGGAATTTTTAAAGACTGTTTTTATACCATTGATGTAAAGGTAAAGGTAAAGGTTCCCTTGCTCGAAAGCCAGTCGAGTCCGACTCTAGGGTTGCGGTGCTCATCTCCGTTTCAAAGCCGAAGAGCCAGCGCTGTCCGAAGACGTTTCTGTGGTCATGTGGCCGGCATGACTAAACACCAAGGCGCACAGACTAGACGGACCTTATCCGACAGGGCTCTTCTTGTGTTCTTTTTAGGAAATGGGTATGCGCCATCAGATGGAGAGGCAGGCCATGAGTCGTAGGCTTCATCATAACAATCGCCCTAGAGACTGAGGAAATTCAGTGTGGACTTCGTGCCTGCAGCCTGTTGCTTCACCGATGGCTCTTAATACAAAGCTCTGGTGGGGGTCAAGCAGAAGCCACGTGTCTTTCCATGCGGGAAGCCACGGATGGCTCCGAACTCCCTGGCTGTCCACTAGCTGGCCCCAGGAGGGTTCCACGGCCTGCAGCCCCTTCTCCAACTTTTCCTTCACCAGCTCCCTTCCTTCCTCTCTGCCCTGCCTCCCCTCCATCACCCAGTCCTCATTTCCCCCTTTTCCATCGCTCTTTGCCCCACCTGCTTTCTCCCCCTGTCCTTCTGCCCTGGCAACAAGAGACAGTGTGGTGTAGAGCTTAATAGTGGCGGACTCTAATCTGGAGAACTGGGTTTGATTCCCCACTCCCCCTCCGTATGAACCCTGCTGGGTGACCCTGGGCCAGTCACAGCTCTCTCCGAACCCTCTCAGCCCCACCTACCTCACAAGTTATCTGTTGGGGGAGAGGAGGGGAAGGTGATTGTAAGCCGCTTTAAGACTCCTTAAGGTAGAAGGAGGAGGAGGTGGAGATTGGATTTATGCCCTGCCCTTCACTACACAGAGTATCAGGTAAAAGGTAAAGGTTTCCCTTGCTCGAAAGCCAGTCGAATCCGACTCTAGGGTTGCGGTGCTCATCTCCGTTTCAAAGCCGAAGAGCCAGCGCTGTCCAAAGACGTTCCCGTGGTCATGCACCAAGGCGCACGGAACGCTGTTACCTTCCCACCAAAGTGGTACCTATTTATCTACTTGCAATTTCTTGCTTTCGAACTGCTAGGTTGGCAGGAGCTGGAACTAGAGACGGGAGCTCACTCCATCATGCGGCACACTCGGGTCTCGAATTGCTGAACTACTGACCTTCCACAGCCTGCAGTTCAGCGTCTTAACCACTTGAGCCACCGCAGCTTACAAACTCCTTTCCCTTCCCCTCCCCACAACAGACACCCTGTGAGCAATGCTCCCTCTAAGCTGTGGAGTCTTGTGAGCAAAAATTCTACTCTGTGAGCTACTGGCATTAAAGCTGTGAGCCAAGCGATTTGGCTGCTGCATGAATTACTTTGCTCTGGAGCCCTCCTTCCTGAACGAAGAAAAAAATCCGTGAGCCGGAGGCTAAAAAACTGTGAGATAGCTCACACTAACTCAGCTTAGAGGGAACACTGCCTGTGAGGTAGGTGGGACTGAGAGAGCTCTTTCGAGGACTGCCCTTGAGAGAACAGCTCTGAGAGAACTTGTGACTCACCCCGGTCACTCAGCTGGCTGCATGTGGAGGAGTGGAGAATCAAACCCGGTTCTCCCAGATTAGAGTCCACACACTTAAGCACTACACCAAACTCCAAGTCCTCCTTCATTTAAAGAGGAATCAGCTTGGGGAACTCACTGCCACTTGAGGCAGCGATGCCCATCAGTTCGGTCAGTTTTCAAAAGGGGGATTAACCAAATTCATGGAGGAGGGAGATGGCTGTTAGCTAATGGAACTTCCATGTTCAGGGGCAGGATCTCTGCGTACCAGTTGATGGAGGCCAAATAGAAGGGAGACTCATTTTCCTGAATGGCCATCAGTCAATAAGGCGGGAAAAAACAAACTTTATGTAAGTGCCTTTAAAATAGCATTTCTGGCTTTCACAGCCTCCTCCTCCACTGTAGTGCAAGCTCCACAGACAAAGCTTTCTTATTCACCTGTTTTCAGTTGCGTAGTAGCCATCTGCAGAGGCCCTGTAGCTGTATGGGGTGGCAGGCGCATTGACGGGGCTTGTGGGCTTTTCTGAGTAAGCGAGAGTCGCCGTCTCGTCATGGGTACTCGCTACATCAGCAACGTTCTTCACCTGGAAAGAGAGGGGAAAAAGACACTTGGTAGATGGGAATTCCTTGGAAGATGCTCTCTTTTGGGTGTGAACATTACTACCTTCTTTCCCCACAGAAAACAATTTAAACCACCACGGGAAACATTATTTTAAAGAGTTGGCAACTTCCTTCACAGATTACCTGCCTACAACCCAAAGCGTAAAATTACTGCGGAGGCTCACCAAGGGCATCAGAAGACCTGGGCAGGGGTCAGACTCGGGGACCATCCAGTGTCCAAATGAAAGCATGAAGAAACTCCCCCACTGCTTGACTTGAACATCGAATATTCAAAGGTACACTGCCTCTGAACATGGAGGTTCTATTTAACTGTCACTGCTTTGGGGAGTCTTCTCCATTAGAGGAGCCCTACTGCGTTAAGAGTAAGTCGAGTCCATCGACCACAGACTCCCGCTTTTGCTAGGCAGACATCTCAAAGGAAAGCCTCAAAACAAAACATAAAAGTCAACAGCCTTTTAAAAATACATATAATCTTGTATTCAGAGGTAAAAAGGTAAAGTTTCCCCTGCTCGAAAGCCAGTCAAATCTGACTCTAGGGTTGCGGTGCTCATCTCCGTTTCAAAGCTGAAGAGCCACCGCTGTCCGAAGACGTTTCCGTGGTCATGTGGCCGGCATGACTAAACACCAAGGCGCACGGAACGCTGTCACCTTCCCACCGAAGTGGTCCCTATTCATCTACTTGCAATTTCTTGCTTTCGAACTGCTAGGTTGGCAGGAGCTGGAACTAGAGACGGGAGCTCACTCCGTCATGTGGCACACTCGGGTCTCGAACTGCTGAACTACCGACCTTCCACAGCCTGCAGTTCAGCGTTTTAACCATTTAACCTTAAACCTGGAGGCTCCACGAAGTGATTGTGGCTGCTGATAGTTCTGAACAGGTTCTTCTGAACCCCTTTTAAACACTTCTCTGAGCCTGTCTGTCTATAACAGTATCCCCCTAAGCAGAATTATACCCTTTATCTAGAATTATACCTATCATCCTGAAGTCCAGCAGGGTTAGAATCAGTGTTCCCTCTAAGCTGAGTTAATGTGAGCTAGCTCACAGTTTTTTAGCCTCCGGCTCACAGATTTTTCTCTTAGCGCAGGAAGAATGGCTCCGGAGCAAACTAATTTATGCAGCAGCCAAATCGCTCGCTCACAATTTGAATGCCAGTAGCTCACAAAGTAGAAGTTTTGCTCACAAGAGTCCACAGCTTAGAGGGAGCATTGGTTAGAAGGGTGTCATTCTGCATCAGAATGCACTGTAAACCTGGTGGCAGTGAATCGGGGTTGTTAGCTCTGGGATGGGAAATTTCCTGGAGATTTGGGGGTGAAACCCGGGTGAGGGCAGGATTTCGGGAGGGACCTCAGCGGGGTATATTGCCTTCGAGTCAACCCTGAGAAGCAGCCACATGCTCCAAGGGAACTGATCTATGTAGTCTGAAGATCAGCTGTGATTCCGGGAGATCTCCAGGTCCTACCTGGAGACTGGCAACCTTAACAGTAAACACCATAATGCACAGAGAAGGGAGGAAGAGCCTACTATTTTCTCGGGGGGGGGTGACCCCAAGTTCTTAGTCATATGCAAGGGAGAAAACCAGTCACTGTTCCATTTCTCTACAAGATTTTGTGGATGGGTTGAATTCGGTACACAGCGCCATCAAATTTGCGTCTGATGTAAAGAGAACTTGATTCATGCTCATACATTCCATAACGTTTAAAAAATAGAAGATGCCACGTCTGTATGTCAAAGTATTTTTTTATTGTTAGGTACATTATGCGTTGGAGCTGCGGTGGCTCAAGTGGTTAAGACGCTGAACTGCAGGCTGTGGAAGGTCAGTAGTTCAGCAGTTCGAGACCCGGGTGCTGCATGACGGAGTGAGCTCCCATCTCTAGTTCCAGCTCCTGCCAACCTAGCAGTTCGAAAGCAAGAAATTGCAAGTAGATAAATAGGTGGGAAGGGAACAGCATTCCGTGCGCCTTGGTGTTTAGTCCTGCCGGCCACATGACCACGGAAACGTCTTCGGACAGCGCTGGCTCTTCGGCTTTGAAACGGAGATGAGCACCGCAACCCTAGAGTCGGATTCGACTGGCTTTCGAGCAAGGGAACCTTTACCTTTACCTTACATTATGCATATCAATTTTTGTAATTGTAATTATATATATATATATTTGTAATATGCTGTTATAATGGTCCCGTTCAGATGAAGTATCAACGAAACAAATTCTCAATCCGGAGAGCTTCGTCAACAACGAGTGTTTTTAAGGACCTCCTTTTCGCACCTTGTATTTAAAAAATACACACTTTGTTGCTATAAGTATACATTGTTATTTATGATTTTGTTCCTTCCATACAGCATCTGTTTTCAGTCTTCGTTTTGTCTGTGCTATTTTATTGGTGACAGAAAGAAAAAACACAAGGAAATCTGCAAAAACATGTGCTTATATAATTACAAAAATAGATATATATTCATTCACACCAAGTGAAAAAATACAAAAGTTTATAGTATTTTGAAACAATCAGAACAATTCATCTCATTAGACGGTGTAACAGGTAAGTAAAACCATAACGGTATGAGTTGTTGGTAGTGTTACTAGGGAATATGCCCGTCTAAGTAGATTTCTGTAGATCATGGATCAGAATACCAACAGTTTGGAATGAATACTTATTGGAAACCAAAGAAAACATCTTGTTGTTTGTTGCCACTTAAAAAGTTTGATGACGTTCAGAGGAAGTCTCTTCGAAATGGAATTTGAATTCTGGAGATTTTCGTCAACAACGCATACCGCCATGGTTTTACTTACCTGTTACACCGTCTAATGAGATGAATTGTTCTGACTGTTTCAAAATACTATAAACTTTCGTGTTTTTTCACTTGGTGTGAATGAATATATATCTATTTTTGTAATTATATAAGTGCAACGTTTTTGCAGCTTTCCTTGTGGGTTTTTTCTCTTCCTGTCATTATATTTGTGGCTGTGACCTTATAGTTATGGCTATTTGATCGGTGGACTGTAACTCTCCTCTCTGATACCTTTTCTCTACCCTGCCAAAAGGCCATCTCTGCGCATCAAAGACAAGTGAATTCAGCAAGGCCCGCAAAAGGTTATGTGAACAGCATGGGGCAATGTGGGGCTTCCTCCCTCTGCCGGAACCTCTGTGTTCAAGGCCACTGGAGCTTCCTTCCAAAGCCCTGCAGCTACGTGCTCTGAAATCTCTCTCTCCCCCCCCCCCCCCCCCTCCTTATCACTATTGCTGGCACCTCCCGGAAAACTTGGACCTCTGAGGGTGTGTTCGGCCACTGGCGAGGAGGAGGAGGGCCGAGCTTTCTGGGAAAGCGCAGATGATCTGGGGCCCTCAGAAACATGTTGGGAGGGGGGGAGAGTTGTTTGTTTAGGCTACAACATCAGTGGCGGAGGCCTCCCACTGCCTTTCCTTCCTGAGCCTTTTGTGGACTGGGGCCGGGGGCAGGAATTAGCTCCACAAGGAAGGGTTGTGGACTGGAGCCAAAAGAACAGCGTTAGGAATGTGCTGGAATTTGGTGCGTGCCGGTGGGGCGGGGAAATCGGCTCAAGCCGCCACTAAGCGACGGAACTAGGACCTGCCACAAGGGGTTGGCAACCAGTTTGGCTCCTGGAACGAGGCAACTCGTTTGGCTCCTGGAATGGGTTGGCAGCAATGCCCCCTCTACGCTGCGGCGTCCAGCGAGCAAAAATTCGACATTGCGAGCTCCTGGCATTCAAGTGGTGAGCGAGCGATTTGCCTAGTGCATCAATCAGTTTGCCCTAGATCCCTCCTTCCTGAGCGAAGGCAAAAATGTGAGAGCTGGAGGCTAAAAAAACTGTGCGCTAGCTCACGCTGACTCAGCTTAGAGGGAACACCGGTTGGCAACTAGTTTGGCCCTTCCCCCCACCCCCAGATCCAGAAGCTTTCAGCCTTTCCTGGGAGAGGACGGGAGACAGCAATGAGCTAGATCTTCTTTGGGACAAAACAAATTGAGGCCGCGGTCACACACACGATATAATCCACTTTCCAGTTGGATTTTGCCCCCCCCCCTGCTCCCAGCAGCCCTCAGTCAAAGCAAGAAGCAGCCAGGTAAGTTGCAGAGCTCCCCCCGGCCCCTCGGTCCAAAACAGTTCAGGGGCGCCTTTAAGACCAACACAGTTTTATTCAAGGTGTGAGCTTTTGTATGCAGGCACACTTTTTCAAATACACTGGAATGGAAGGGAAGGTTCAAATTTATAGACAGAGGCCGAACAGCAACTTAACATGTAACACCACGAAGACCTTTTAAGATATGCCAAGACAAAACTAAATAACAAGTGGAGGTTATAAGGGCAACAGTTGTAAAGCAATACATACGTCAAAAGAGAAAAAGAGGAGGAGGAGGAGGAGGAGGAGGAGATTGGATTTATACCCCACCCTTCACTACTTGAAGGAGTCTCAGAGTGGCTTACAAACTCCTTTCCCTTCCCCTCCCCACAACAGACACCCTGTGAGGTAAAAGAAGAAGAAGAAATTGGATATATACCCTGCCCTTCACTACCCAAAGGAGTCTCAGAGCGACTTACAAACTCCTTTCCCTTCCCCTCCCCACAACAGACACCCTGGGAGGTAAAAGAAGAAGAAGAAATTGGATTTATACCCCGCCCTTCACTACCCAAAGGAGTCTAAGAGCGGCTTACAACCTCCTTTCCCTTCCCCTCCCCACAACAGACACCCCCTGTGACTAGGCAGGGCTGAGAGAGCTCTTGACCGAAACTGCTCTTTTTCAAGGACAGCTCTTATCAGAACTACGGCTTGCCCAAGGTCATCCAGCCAGGTGCAAGTGGAGGAGTGGGGAACCAAACCCGGTTCTCCCAGATTAGAGCCCGCGCACTTCCCCACCACACCAAACAAATAAGACGGAGACTCTCTGTTCACTCCTCTCAGGCGTGGAGGTCACTTAACAGCGTGCACACAAAAGCTCATTCCTTGAATAAA